CCTCTATCTCATTAATATTCAGAAGAAATGGAGGACATTAATAAAGCTGATTTCTTGAATCATCTTAAAATAAACTCTCTCTAAAAAGCTGTGGTAGTAAGTCCAATTTTCTTTGTTTTGCACCATTGGGCAGATGAGTTAGTGAATTTATAACACTTGAAGTTAATTGAGATGTTTAACAGGATTCGCTTGGAGCCTGTCGGAGGCATTGTCCTGACATGCATATAAGCAGCATAGTATATGCCCTTACTTTGCCAAATGTTGCACCAGCAATACAATAATTATTCTGTGCTTGGGGGCATTGCTATTTCATGGTCAGCCATTATAAGCTACTGATTGAACAGGAATACTGAAATGATTTCTGGGGCCCACTAGTTTTAAGGGAAGCTATACAAGCCTAGAACGATTGAGAATTAATGCCCTCTGTGCTGTGCTGATCCTAGGAACGCATTTTTTTTTTTCCTGTACATCTTTTTTATTTAGCAAGAAGAATGCTAACTGTCGGTCTTTTCTTGTGTTTTTAAAAAAAAAAAAAAATCTATATTCAAACTCTCAAAAAACCAGAACCATCCTTTCCCGCTAGGAAAGGGTTCATGCCTATGTCAAATGAAGGAACATATTTCTTTAAAAGATTAACTGGAACGGCTTTGTAACAGAAGTACCAGTACTTATTAAAAAACAATTTTAAGGCCTTTGCACTGTGAACAGATTCACATCGACCCTATTGCTATTGAGACTGCAGCCGGATAGTCACCAGCAGTTACACTGCAAAGTATGAAAATCTCAACAGGCTGTTAACCTGAGAGCCTAATTACGACTTAATTGGCAACCTTGTTAAAGTGCTTTGTCATTGGATGAGGCATCAGACAACTCTGTCTGTAGCATTTGTCCACTGAGACATAGCTACTCAGCCCGTCTTCATGTTTCCGTGGTTTGTAGTTCCTAAGTGCTGTCAGGTTGCAGGTACCTCCATTAGCTGGGGCTCAAAGGGCCCCCGAGGATGCTTTAACAATAGTTAGCTGTAGCAACACTCTTCTCATTGGATATCTGATGCTTCATCTTTAGAGCATAAAATATTTCTTATTTTTCTGATGCTGGTAGGAAAATACTCTCCCCATTGTCTTTACTTTAAATAGATATACTAATAATTTTTTTTTTCACATAGGAGATAATGTGTAAAGTAGTGTTGTTATCTTATTATCTTGAAGGTCTTGATCTCTATGAGTTTTTTCACAAGCTTGTTTATCATTTATTACAAAACTTAATAATCCATATTAAATTTGGTAGAAATAACTTCTTATAATGTATTTTTTATTTTTTTAATAGCTTAAAGGTGCCAGTGCTGGGTGAGGAGTAACTATGTTTTTGTCCTAAATTTCGCAGATGTTGCCAGCGTTTAAAATAGTTGCATAGGGTAGCCTGTGAACAATTTAAATCTAAGCTGCAAATATTTAAGCTTTATATGCCTTTATATAATTAAGGAAAAAGGAGGAAATTTCCTTAGCATCTTTAAGGATGATTTGAGCCTAAAGATTCAACCAGTGGTGTCTAACTGCCTATAAAATCTACACTTGAATTTTGCCTGATTTGGACAGATCATGATATACAGAAGAGGGTATCAGACTGGGAGAAAAAAATCTTACTTGAAGCAATTCAGAACAAATATTTTGCAATTCCAGAAAGAAATGTAAGGGCTGAGAGTTTTCCTCTGTCTGTGGGGTCAAACTACTTTTGAGTATCCGGCTTGGCTGGCCAGTCTTAGAGGATGATCAGTCGTTGTAGAAAATAGTATTTCTTTGATGTGGTCTTGTGGGTCTGACTGCTGGAATCTCAGCTTTGTTTGACTGACAAAATTTTGATGTAGAGCATTATGCTTTCAGTTTTTGCTGATGTGTGGGAGTACCTTTTGTTTGAGCATCTTCCTCTATTTGCTGTAAAGACCACAGAAAATAATGAAGTGTATTGAATTGATACTTGCCAACTTTTTAAATATGTATTTGTGTTTCATAAATAGTATGTTTTGTTAGTTTTCTCGAACAGTTACAGCCTGAGTTTCTTGGATGACAGTAGCCAGGCCTTCGTACAGAATGGTACAGTAGTATTCTTAGATACTACTTGGCATTGTTTGGAGCAAAGGAAAAGGAGATTGAAGTAAAGTAGGTGATGGATAATTAATGAGAAGTATTACTGCACAAGTGCATGTTTGATTCTACTTGATGCTCAGTGTTTGTTTTTTTTATGATCGACTACTCCCTGTAATCTTACTGATTAAGGATTATGATCTCTTTGCAAGTGTAATCCGGACAGGCTTCAAGTCAGCGACCGAGCATAACGGACAAGGTACGATATAGTGTAGCTTGGCAGTAGTCATTTGCTGGTGGATATCTATACAGATAAGTGAGTAATATATGGGAGTATAACGCAGCCTGTTTATAGTGAGCTTTCTTAGAAAGGTCAGGGCCAAATTTTGGAGAAAAATGTGCTTTTGGTCCGTCTGAGACTGGGACTACATTAGACACTTAAGAGATGATTAAAAGTGTGTAAACTACCATGTTAAGGGGGAGACCCATAAGTTGTGGTGGGGCACCCTGAGAAGAGTCTGACTATCGTAGCTTCAGTGAAACTAAGGCAACGAGGCAAGTACGTAGCATCTGTGATTGCAGAAAATAAAAGTGAATTTGGGTCTGGGTAGTTCTTGGGATAAACTTAGGGTAAGGTTTGAAATAATGTTTTTATGTTGTAAACTTTGAAATGTGTTGGGGGATGCTGTACGAAAGTCTGTGTTCTGAGTGCTGAAAAGCTCACTATGAAAATAATAAAAAGCATAAACTTTCTTACTGGAGGTGGGAGGGGAGCAGGAGAAGTAACAGAGAATTTCATCTGGCACAGAGCTAAGAGTCGGTGTATTTTACTTGTCCATAAAGATGAAAGGATTTTTGGTACTGAAATTCCTCAAGCAACAATTGAATGGAAGTGTTGGATACTGACACTTGAACAGCCTCAGTGAGCTGAAAATGGAAAAAATATATTAATTGTGAATTGGAGAGCCTGCAGTGAAGTAATCGCAACTTGTTTGATAGGGTGTATGTTCTCTCTTTCTCTGAACAATTGTTTGGACTCTAGACTCTGCAAGTGA